TGTAGCTTCCTCTTGCTTCTCCCTCTCCCCTCTTCTGTATTTCTTGGAGCAGATGCTACCAAATGTACCTTGGTATAAGGAACGACGCCTGAACTATACATCTCTTGGATCATTGATGGTCATAATACTTATAAGGACTGTGAAGTACAACTTATGTAGGCTGCAGGTACAATATACAGTCCATTCTTTTCAAAGTTTATAAAAGTATAGGCACTATCTTATAAACTTTTTTTATTCCCTTGCTTGTATTGAGACAGTTGGGCTTTAAAATTTTTTAATTTATATTATTTATTTATTTATTATTATTGTTATTGTTATTGTTATTGTTATTGTTATAGTTATTGTTATTGTTATTGTTATTGCTATTATTGTTATTATTGTTATTGTTATTGTTATTGTTGTTATTATTATTGTTATTATTATTATTGTTATTGTTATTCTTATTATTGTCATTCTTATTATTGTCATAAATGCTAATGTGTTATATTTAAAAAAAAAAAAACCCCTTATTCATAATAACGAAAAAGGAGTAATAATGTTAATTTGAAAAGTGGAATTTATTATTGTAATTCCACTCATTAACCAAACATCATGATGGAGTTATAATTATGAATTCCTACTTCTTCCCAAACCATATAATTGAAATATAATGTTAGGATTTAAATTAAATAATTGAAATTAAGCATTTGAAATCAAATTCGGCTTTTTTAACATTACCTAAGCGCATTTTTGTGCATTTACCTAGATCATCGTGCCTGAATTTGAAATTTAGAACAAACAAGTACATTTATATTTGAAGGTTACATCAATAGTGGTAGTCATATCATCAAAATGAAATAGACCAGCCTAGGGGGAGGGGTAATATTAGATGGTTATGATTAGCTTGGTTAGGAAGTTAGTGACTTAATTAGAGTTGAGGCAGTTATGAAATTCAGAAGTGCCTTTATATCGAGGAGATCAGTGAGAAGGAAAACAAGCAGGAAAATTTGGTCGAATATTATTTTACTCTTTATAGCTTTTACTGGGTATCCAGCCAATTGAATGTCTGGGATTGTTTATCCCATTTGATGATAATTGTTATGAAGAAAATCTATAGTATCCTTCGTTTACCCATTGCCGCATTGGTCTCTGGAGATAAGAGAAGTTTGTTTTGGCAGTGTTTTGTTTTTCTTTATATTTAAGAAAACTAGGTAGACTACCTAATTCGTGGGTTTTGACTTACAGTGATTTTAATATTAAAAGAGAGAAATTAAAGAGTATAGTGAAACTGCCCCCTAGCCTTAAAGTACCCTAGAACCATTTCCACCAATATTAGGTATATAGATCGCAAAGTTAGACGAATGACTGAGTGGTAATTGATGGAAGCTGTATCCTCACATTGGTTATTTGACTATAATGATTGTGTGTCTTATGGTAAATCTGGGTGCCTTGGTTGCTGGGGAATGTTGTTATTCATATTATAATGTCCCTAGAGTGGAGATGTTATGGAATGGTGTTGTGGTTTCAGGCCTTTTAGCTATAAAGTCTTCGTTTCAATACTTAAAGCAACATATTTATTTTAGAATAGTCTTGCCTGATTGGATGCTTTCATTTGATTCTATCAAAGGTTACATGTCCACCCAGTGTATGGTCTTGTTATTTATCACCTTGCATTTTTCGTTACGGTGAACACTATTGTGGAGTTTTATGTATGTAGATACGTTGATTTATTTTGTGTTATGATTTCTTTGGATGCTTTTTCCGTGCAGGATGTTTATCTCCACACGAACTGTCTGGCAGCTTTGGCGAATATGGCTCCTCATGTTCATCGTTTGGATGCATATGCATCACAAAGATTAGTCAGCCTATTCCATATGCTGTCTTGCAAGTATATGCTCTTCCTTTATTTCATCTCTTCTTTGATTTTATTAGTGAACTGGCTGTAGTGATAAAATTAAAATAAGGTGGGTGTACAATAAATATTGAACATCAGGTGTAAAGTTATACTAAAAAAATCTGAAGTTCTATTTAGTATCGATAAAATGCTCTCCAATATTTTACGATGTAATTTTTTTTTTTCTAATGTATAAAGGTAACTATATTAACCTTTGTAAAACATTTCTCTCAAAATCACCTCTTATTGTACACTAAAAATTATAACAGGTTAAAAGTTATCCTGAAAAAAGGTTAGAAGTTACCCCAAAGCTGCTAAAAAGTTGCCCTAAAATTGGCCAGTCTACTTTAAAGTTACAGTACACTGGATGTACCTATGAGTTTTTGTAATTTGTATGCTTGTTAACATATGAAATGCAACCAGGTACACCAAGTTAGCAGAGCTGCAAAATGATAAGATGCAAATAAATAAAGTAAACTCCACGGAAGGCGACAACATGTTGGAAGATGTGGTAATTGTTGGATTTGGTTGTGACATGGCTCTGTAATACTTAATATATCTTTGCCTGTGATCTGTATGGTATGGTATGTTGTTAAAAGGGTGAAATTTTTCACAGTCCATGGAGCTGCATATTTATACTGATTTCTTGCGGATTGTTCTGGAAATAATAAATGCAATTCTGACGTATGCTCTGCCACGGAATCCAGAGGTATAGTGTACTAGATTCTTAAAACTGTAATGAGCAAATAATAGTGACTTTTCATTTCCTTACTGTTGCAAATTATATGTATCTGTTCAGGTGTTTATGCGGTGATGCACAGACAGGAGATATTTCAGCCCTTCAGGAATCATCCCAGATTTAATGAACTGCTTGAAAATATCTTTACTGTATGTTTGATGAGTTCGCAAAATTCTTTACTTCAGATTTTATTCTTTTGTCACAAAGTGTGTTCATCTTCTGCATAACAGAATCCTCTTCAGGTGATGCAGTTTCCTATGTGATACAATGTGTTATTCTTTTCAATATTTAGGTTTTAGATTTCTTCAACACTCGAATGGATGCTCAAGAGTTAGATGGTGAGTGGTCTGTGGAAAAGGTGCTTCAGGTTATAACCAACAATTGTAAATCCTAGCGTGGGGAAGGAATGAAGGTCAAATTACAAATATTTTTGTGTTCTTTTTCATCCATCTTTAGAAAATATGTTGAGTACAAGTTTTCTGTCGACCCTCACATTTTTTTCGTTTCACCAGATGTTCACTCAATTGCGTTTCACTTATGAACAAGAAAGCCATCCTGAAGAGTTCTTCATTCCATATGTGTGGCAGCTTGCTGTAGCTAAATGGTATTCTCTGTCTTTCTAGGATATACACCCGTTTCTTTTGTTAGTCCTTTTTTGAATCTTGTAGATTCCAATGCAAATTGAATCTAGTACTTTATCTACAAATATATATTAGAAAAAACATACTTATGTGTAGTTTCATTATATCAACTTATTTTAGGAAAATGGACATCACCAGTCCCAACTATGGCCAATCTTGGCGGTCCTAACTTTAGGCGGGATATGGTCCCTAACAACATATTAACCGATTTCACCTTTAATAGTGCCATTTGTCTTAGTTTTCATTAGGCGTAGTTAAAAAGAAATTAAAAATAAAATCCTTCACCACCATTAACACCTACCCCCTCCCTTTAGGCCTTGTTCTCTTCACCTTAAAACAATACGTAATCTTCACCACTAAAAATTCAACACATGACAATTTTAACCGGCCTGGTCATAATAACTGTTTTAAAAAGGACCCCCTTAAAGTTGGGACCGTCATGAGCTAATTGATAATTGGGATCTTTAAAGAAAAATGTCTTAGTTAGGAGTGGTAGCATCTATCTTTTCCTTAAGTTTTTTTATTTTTTATTTTATTTTTATTTTTTATTTTTATTTTTTATTTTTTATTTTTTTAAAATACATTTTTGCATATTTATGCTTAAATGTGTGCATTGGAAACTATGCACAACGTGGAACTACACCGACTAATAGAAACAACTGAGTCTTTTGGACAAGTACTATATATGTTAATATCTGAATTGGCTGAAATTAGTTATTCTGAATTTAAAACACTTTATTTCCATTATAATTGATAGCAAGATCTAGTAGCTCCACATGTTTAGGTGATGATTTGTTAAATAATAGTGTCAGCATGTCGAGCATGTCTTTTTATAAAAAAAACGTAAAGATTATAATAATAATTGTCTATAAGAATAACTAAGAACGAAAAATAAAAAATGCAAACGCAAATCAATTGAATAATTACAATATTAATTTAGCATCATGTACAGAATTCTAGAGTGTGTCATCTTAAAATCTTAGCATGTTAACTGCATAATCTGTGAGTTTCTCATTTTCTTTGAGAAAATGTACAGGAAAGATGATCCGGGTAGTCAACCATTAATTTTTGCTGTAAAGTATTTGCTATGTATTATCATGCTAACATGTCAATATATCCTGCAGTGGATTTGCTTTCAGTCCCAGCAAAATAAACTTGTTTTCAGTTGATTTGCCAAGAGAGGTAAAGTTTCTGTTCCTTTAAAATGATGGCAAAAAAAGAAGAAAATTGAAAAAAAAAAAATTCAGTTTCACTCTGTCATGTGAGATATTTAACACTATTTTCATGGTGTAGACTGCTTATAGAGGTGAAGGAGATCATAAAAATCACGATGAAGAGTTGAGTGCGCAGGAAGTTGAGCTTGACCCTTAGCGGATGAAGACTAGGGGTTTACATTTTGAAGTGATATTATACGAATGTAAATATAGATGTATTAGCAGAGAATGTGTAATTCTTCTTATTCTTTCTGTCCATATGTTGGAGTAATGTAAAGGGCCTTCCTATAGTATGGCATATGTGAATGATGCTATGTAATATTTCTTATAGAATAAATGCTCTCAAATATATTGATTCAACTCCCATATAAGTGTGACTAATTTTTGGTTCAATAAGTTTTAGGGAGCTATTTTATCATTCTATATCAAGGCCTAGTTTTACAATTGACTGCTGGGTAGTTCAATTTGCTAAAGAAAAACTATGCCACCATTTCACAGCAGCTGAAAAGTACGAAAATGGCCTATATTATTGTATATTACATACACTGCTTGACCCTAAAATTTTTCTTTGCCAATCCTGTACCTTTTATAATCAGAGGATGGTGCAGTCAAATTACAAAGCTCAACATTTGTGTACAAAGAAATGTCATAGCAAAGCTAATTTATAGTCCAAATTCAGCTATTTAGTTGCATCATAGAACAGGGGTATCAGCAAACTTGTAAGACAACTTTGCCAGGACGTCCGGATCTCGTTCTCCACTGACCTCATTAACTGGAATTGCTTCTGAAATTTCTTTCAGATCATCTGTACTTAGCTTTACTTTCAGTGACTCTATGTTGGTGACAAGATTTTCGAGTTTGGTAGTTCCTGAATGAAATCAAAGTAAAAATTCACCGTTTCATTCACCATGTTCATAAAATTTTTGCAAATAATTAAAAGTTTCATGAACGGATTTCTGTACACACGTCTTATAAATTATAGAGCGGCTTTTGTCATGTTCTTGGTTATACGAAGTTGGTATCTGATGAACTCGTTAAACACCTGTCTCTATTTTATGTTATACTATTTACAACAGAGTAAGCTAATGTACCTGGGATTGGCACTATGTCATCTCCCTGATGAAATAACCAAGCTAAAGCTAGCTGTGCAGGGCAACATGAATGCCTTGTTGATAAAGCAGCAAGGCGGTTATACAGTAATTTATTCTTCTCTAGATTCTCACCAATGAACCTCGGGTGTGCAATCTGTGTTGAACATATATCATTAGTCAGTACTACAGCATGAGTATATAAATCTGACAGCATAGAAATCCTTATTGAAGTACTTTATAGAAATAGAAAATATTCTTACCACAGACATAAAATTTTGTATAATAACTAAAAATGTATAGTTTTGGATAGAAAGGCAGATAACCTATCAGTTATTTGTCAAGTTCATTTGCACCGCAAAGAAACTTTAACATGCACCCAATTTGGTTATATGAGTAGTTAGGTTCCTTAGATACATAAGGACTTTATCCTCGAAGCTATAATTTAAGAACTCAGAAGGAAACACCTTGGATTTTCTTACCAAAAAGCTTTCTGAATGTAAACTCTCAACTACAGCCTTTCCTGCGAAAAATCCACGTCCAAGAGGGCTATATGTAACTACACCAATTCCAAGCTCCCTGGATTCAAGATATTATTGAATTCAAAAGCTGCAGAAAGTGAAGCATACAGTCTGTTCTGTAGGCACCATTGTGTCCACACGATGTTGATAGTACAGATCAATGTAATCCATGCCAAGCCGTTTAAGGCTACCTTCACAGCTTTTTCTGACATATTCAGGGGTACCCTTTGCAACAAATTCTCCATTTTCCAACCATAAGCAACCAAATTTAGTTGCTAATTGAATTTTTTCTCGAGGTAGCTGCTTCAAGGCCTGCAGATGCAATAGATCTTTTAACTTGAAATGTAAATTACAAAGGAAACTTTCTCTTGAGTTTTGTGAGATTAAGCCAAAGGTACACTTTTTTATTATAAATCAGTGATCGACTTGTCTCATTGTCCGAACCTCTCATAATTAAGGATTGGATATAACTAAAAGACTCTATAATAGTGTTTCTAAATTATCTCCCTACTTATCACTTAATTTCATTAGTGGCATACTGTGAGTATGAAAAATCTTGTCACAATTCATTACCATAGTATAAATTTGATATTAAATGTGAATAAAAAGAAACATGAAATTGTTTGATTCTTGATGATCAGAATCCCCTCATTTACATGGCAACATCTCTCAAGCAACAGTACTAGGCTTAAAAAAGGTAACTGAAGTGTTACCTTGCCAACCATTATCTCATTGTCATAGTTATCACCATACAAATCTGAAGTGTCAAAGAATGCGATTCCCCTATTATACGCTTGCCTGATAAGTGAAATTCCTTCTTCATGTGGGAGAGGTGAATTGTATACACCAGACAGTCCTCCACAACCAAAGCCTAACCGAGAAACCTACCATACATAACATATCTTGTCAAATATGATCTCATTTTTTTCATTGTAACCTTGTTCAGAAAATCCAAAATCTGCAACTAATATAAAATTGAGTATCAAACTATCACCACTGGTAGTAGAGTCACAATTCAAAGAGTCCAATCTCATTTTTTGTTATTCTTTTCAAAATTTCCTCTTTAAACCCACCAAAAACTTCTTGTACATGATGACTAAATTGAAAAAAACAAATCACTCCATGTCAAAAACTTATAACCAAAATTAAGTTTTTAGTGGCCTTTTTTTTATATGTTGTAATCTATTTGTAATAGCTCATTTGTGTTTGCCTTAGCTTTGAGTTTGAATGTTAATGAATTGATTTTGGTTACCAACTTCAGTTTTAATTGCCTATGAAAATTCTGGTGTTTTGGTAACTTGCACATAAACTAATCACATGTTAGTGAAGTCTTCCACAGAGGGCATATACTACTTATGATACAATTAATAAAGTATCAATTGGTGTCTTCATTTTTTGTATCTATAGTAACATTTTTGTAATTAATTGAAATGAAGGGAGTAGCTGCTTAGCCTAAAGTGAACACAATTTTCTCCTTTCTTCAATATGGGAAACGAATCCCAATAAAGGACTACGTGACAATTACTTTATAGATTCGAAGGTAAATAAGGGGACTACGTTATGATGTGTACCGAAAATTATACTTACATTTTTGAAATATCATCAGTGTTATATACTCCCTCCGTTTTTAAATACTTGCTCCAATTTCCTTTTGCGGCAATACTTGCTCCATTTCCTTATTTGGAAAGTTTTTACAATAATTAATTCATTTATCTCAACTAGTGGACCCAACATAAATCATATTTTATTAATTATATATTCTCTCTCCTCAATTCCCTCCACTACTTTTGATTTTACAAATTTTTTATTATTCTACCAACCCCACTACCTCTATATTTTATTACTTTCTCCAATTTCTCATAAAACTCCACGGATGGAGATATCAGATATGGAACAAGTATTTAAAATCGGAGGGAGTAATTCACATGCTCTATATACTTCATTGTTTTCGGAATTCCTCCCAAAATATTATACTTCCCTCTATTCCTAAATACTTGCAACACTTGTTTTGTCCATTATGAATATTTTTATAACTTCATATTTGGCACAGGCCCTTATTGTTTTAATTTGTTCTTTTTTAGCAGCTCTATTTTTATTATTTATCTTTCACACTAATTCCTCTTGCACTAATTGTAATTGCTTCCCTCTCTTACACACAATCTAAAAATTAAAAAACATTCTTTAACTCTACTCTCATATTATTGCCTTCATTTCACAATAATAAACAAATTCAGTATTCAGTCGTTTCATAATTTGTTGCACGCGTTTAATTTATTTCATTTTTGTCAATCCTAATTTACTATCTTAGCCTCTTACGGTCTTACCCCACAGGCCCACAATATTACTTTATTCATTTTCTTTTTTACATCCACCCACCATTTTACATTCTCTTCCCTTTCTTAATTCTTGTGCAAATGGTAGATGTTGAGAAAGTTATTATGTGTGAGTTCAAGTGATACAAGTATTCAAGACCATAGGAGATTAGGAGTATAAGACAAAATATAAAAAAAAAAAAAATCCCCTCAAAGAACAAATTTCTTATATTATGTGAATATTTAACCTATGTTCATAATTTTCAATGAAAAAAGCCAATCTAACTAATCTTGCTTGTATTACAAATAAGGAACCAATTCATCTTTCAAGCGAATCAAATTCGCTAAAGATGTGCTTTGAAAAATTCATTCTTAAAATTGCATTCCATTGTTCATATTTTGATTCTTTGACAGATTTCATTTCACACTTGCATCATTCCCATGATTCAAAATGTCCAATAAAAAATACAACTATTTCAATAGACTAATAATCAAGAAAAATTAGTTGAGGATCGAATCTTCTTCTAAATTGGGTAGACTTAAATATTTTCTCAATTTACCTAAACAGAAATATCAATCAGCAGATGTCAAAGGGAAACAAAATAAAATATAAAATAAAAAAGAAAGCATAATATTGTTAGATAGATAACAGTTGAATAAGTTATGAGAGAAGGTTACCTCTAATCCTTGGCTGCCTAAATTCACCTTTGGCACATCAGTTGTTTGATGGCAGTGCTCCATTTCCATTCAGAGAATTTCCTCTTTAAGTTAAGTGTTTAATTGTTTATGATATATACAAGTAACTGAAGTGAGACATATTGTACCTAAAAGCTGTAAAGTGATCACTCACTTAATCATAATTAGGTCCAAATAGCAAAACCAAGAATTAAAATTATACGAGTACATTGACAAACATACATAGTCAAAATAGAATAATTAGAAGAAAACCGATGAAACTTTTTATAAATGATTCTAGACATCATTAGTAAAAGGTCGTTCATCACCGAATTCTAAAACGGGGAGACATAATTAGCTGTCTACAATCATGCACAGAAACGCTGCCATAAAGACATAAACTTTTGATGCTTTCAAACATTGGCACGGTTTATGAGATTTTAATAATTACTCTCTCCATCAAGTATTAAATGACACATTGATAATGTAATATTTGGGAATGATGAAAAATATAATCAAACTGCAATCGTCTAAATTTAGTTCATGTTGTTACTTGGTACCTAGTTGGGGACATTCTTATAAATAGTTATTGAAGATAAATATTATTAAACTAATTCTCTTACTTAGTATTTGCTAATTTATTTAATTTATTTTTTATTGATAAATAGTCTTTAATCACGCTTAATTATATTGTTCTTTCGATGTGTGTGATTTTATTTGTTATTCAAACACATTTACTTATATCAGATATTTTTTGTGTATTTGACTTTTGCTACCTGTCAAACAGGTCGAATTCACTTTTGCTACCTATGAAAACTTTTATTTTATTTTACTACCTAACATATGCCCTTTTTTTTAAATTTTGCTACCACTGAACGGAATCCGTTAAGGAATTCGTTAAGTGGGTCCATAACGACACATGTCGTGTTATTATTGGCCAAAAAAATTAAAAAAAAAATTAAAAAAAAATTAAAAAAAGAAAAACCTAAACTACCCAGCCACCACCCCTGCGCCACCCTTGCGCCACCAGCGCCTTCCCCCAACTCACTACTTCCCTCCCCGAACCCACCACCGGTGTCGCACCACCAGCCCCAACCCACCTGAACCCTTCCCCTCCCTTTCCGCAACCGCGTCGCCCCCAAAACCGCTAAACCGTGAAAATGAATCAAGCCGTGAGTTCATACTAATTTCTACAGTTATGCCCATTATACCCTTGAAAATGTGAATCTACATATATACCCTCATTAATATGTACAAGTTTTATAAATGAATAGTGTTTGGGCAATTATACCATCTAAAATGTTTATTTGTTTGCCCTCATTAATGATTATTGCCTATTTATTTTTAACTCTTACGAATAATGTGTGGACATCTATATTATCGAGGGTTTGTTTTTTTTTTTTTTTTTTTTTTCATTTAACAAAATGCCTATTCTTTCAAATGCGGACAAGGATCATCCTATGCAGCCTAACCTTATTGTTCCCATAGATTTAGCACAATCAAATCAGGGGCTTCAATCTCTATACCAATCTCGAAGATCCTAATGCTTTAGGCCTCATTTTTATGCATGTGAGACATGGGGGATGTTTCAATTCACAAACCAAGGGGTTTCTAATGAGCTACTAGATCAAGTCGAGTTTCAAGCCAAGAATTTATTCAATCTTCCATTTGAGTAAAATATGAAGGTTTTACGATGTAAATATGTAATACCCCGTATTTTTACACGTATTTTCATTTAAATAAGTATTTCTTAAAGTATTTAATCAAGTTAAAGTGAATAATTTATGACGTTTTACTTATTTAAAGAGTTTTATTTTAAAATAAAGGTCCAATTTATTTATTTAATAATTTTGAAAATACTTTATTTTATAATTTAAAATTATTGGGCCATATATTTCTATAAAAAAGTAATTTTTAAAGTCAATGGTACGTATTTAAGGAAAGTCAAAATGTTAGTTTGAATAGGAAAGAGATCATTAAGGGTAGAAAGAGAATTTAAGTCTAGGAGGGTTTTAGAAAGGGAGTATAAATACTCATCACATGGGGCAAATTGAACTTTGCCTAAGGTGAAGAACACCCAAGGTAACACTCTCTTTCTCTCTCCTCTTACTTTCTCTTTATCTCTCTAGTATTTTCCCCTTCCCATTGTTTTTGCACCACCACACATGCACACCACCGGTGGTCGGCTGCCACCACCACTACAATTGTGTAGGATTTTATAGGTACTACGCAGCGGAAATAACATGAATCATATTCATAAAGCACCTAAACCAAGGATCATTGCATAACACATAAAGAACCCATAATTATACCTTTGAAGCGTGATTCCACGTGCGATCGAGCAAGAACAAAGGGAGATAAAGAACCTCAAGCGTGATTCCTCTACTTGGTCCACGGGCATGGATTAAGACCTCCACTAATGCTAGTTAGTTGCAATTGAAACCTTCAATTGACCTTCTACGGAGAAGAGCGAGCAACGAACCACAACGAACACCATACGCGCCACCTAGGGTGGCCGGCCGTACGGATTAGGGGAGGAGAAGGAAAGCCATGAGTTAGAGAGAGGAGTTCATGGTTTTGAGATTGGTTGCCTTGATGTCAAAATACACTGTAGAGTTCATGAGACATTCTCATAAACATGAATTTTGCAATTTCTAAACTTTATAATAATATTCACCTCCATACACTAAGAATTTTCCTTCGCCCTTTCGCAAGGAATGAACTTAGGAATTTCTAATTTGTATTCCAACATCACATTGGATTTCGATTGAAACCTATCATCACTTGTTCTTTAAAACACATGAATCAAATAGACGAGTATAGTCCATGGTATGCATGATGCATCCTTTGCAAATTTTATAAGGATCATCACCCAAAATCTTAATTTCATCAACCTTTCTCAAAGCATTAAATCATTAAGCAATGTGCCATGTTACATGGGACTAAAACTTTTTTCAATATAATGTTGAACCTAATAAGAATCTTATCAATATAAGCCTCTTAATCAAACTCAAACATCCTTCGAGACCTATCTATATAGATCTTGAATCCCAAATGTACTCATCTTCTTCTCCAAGGTTTTCATACAAAATGCAATAGCTATCATTTGATCCTTCAATAATTGCTCTCTGTACTAGACCAAGAAGACTTCATAGCTCCTACTAAACATCTTGTACATACAAGAACTTTTCTTCATTTTACAAGAACATCAAACGATTTGATTAAGTCACAAAATTAAGAACATTAACTCCCTGATGCTAACTTCAATCCATTATAGATCTTTTATGCATCCCTAGGATTATTGGATCTCTAAACTTTTGATTGTATCATATACAAATCTTCTTTCATGAACAATTTTAAGAAAGTATTTTAAAATCTATCTACCAAATCTCATGAGGTAGTAATCACTAAAATATCTTAATAGATCTTTGCAACATGACTAATGTAAAGGTTTCATCGTAGTCATAGTCATACTATGAATTAGTTGAATCCTTTAAGAAGTCTTTGTTTTAGTTAGAAAACATTTTTCTATCTTGTCTACTTATCTTATAATGGGTCATACCCAATTTAGGCAAATAATTCAAGTGTCATACATTTTCTTACAGACTTAGAATCTATTTTAGATTTCATGGTTTTAAACCACTTGGAGTCATAACTTGTCAAATCATCTTTATTACTTGCATAATCATAATGTTCCAAAATAAATATTTTAGAACTCTTAGTCAATATGAAATCATATTTCTTTGGCTAAGTTTTACATATGCTAGTCATCATTGTGGGTTTTTATGCAACAATTAAAACTCATACAACAACTTTGTTTAATTTCAGCAGCAAAAAAATATTACATTTATTTGACAAAGTTTTTATAGATGTTTATAATATTCATGTGTTACATATATATAAGATTTTATAATTATGTGAAATATTCTGAGAAATATTCTGTAATATACACCAAAAGAAATTATAATCATAAAAAAAAAAAATTAAACTAAACTAAACCAGGGACATCTATTTGTCATGGAGCTAGTGTTCCTTGTTTTAATATATTATATAGATATGTAGATATCTTATACTTGATATCATAGATTATGTCAATGCTAACGTGTCATTTTATTGGAGGACTTGGGGGGAGTAACGAGGCCGAGGATGGTGCCGGATGATGGAGCCTAGTCCTTAGTTTCGTAGGCCAGTAGCCGTAGTTTTTCTTTTTTTTTTGTTGCTTTTGTTCTGTTTTGCTTTCTAGTTTGTTTTAGATTTTGTTCTTGCTTTTGGGGCTTGCCCCTTGTGTTCACCAAAAAATTATGTGCGCATATATAACTTTTTTATTGATGCACATGTGCGTATACATAATGGTAGTAAACATTAATTATGTTAAACATCATACATGGTAAATTTTTTTAATTATATTTTTAAGAAAATATATACTATACTCAGAAAATATATATATATATATATATATATATATATATATATATATATATATATATAGATACAGACTTATATTGTAGTATTTATATATATATATATGTTGACTTAGAAGATAAAATATCTATAAATTGAGTAAATATTTGCATGGGCAGTATACTAAGACTATTTCGGATATAACATGAGCAATAATCTTTTTGACGGGATATAATATAGCTATGAGCACATGATCATTATAGCCAATAATCTACTCAACATGTTCCCTAAAAATAAAAAATAACTAAGCAACATGATGACATTACTACTTAATCTGTTCTTTTAGGACTTACTCCCTCCGTTCCACAATGATGTTCCTGTTTGGAAACTTTGACTTTTTTAAGAAAGAGAGAATCTTCTAAATTTCTCTTAATCTATAAGAATAAATATAGTCACGCGGGATCTAGTTTGATTCGTCTTGATGAGTAGATTATTAATATCTAACTTTTATAATTTTTGCTATTGTGAGATTAAAGATATTTGCGGTCAAAATTGAGTAAAAAATTGCATCGATTTACGAAACAGGAACATCGTTATGAAACGGAGGGAGTATAACTTACCTATTTTAATCGAACTTCTAATCAATCACGTAATCATATGAAATAATTAAATTTTTCAATGCAAAATCAGTCTTGGAGTATCTAATATATTGTACCTATCTTGTTCCAAATAACTATTTAATATAAGAATTATAAT